TGCATGCGCGGTTAGAGTGGGAGAAAGTCATATGACATCCTGCCAGAACGAGAGAACCGCCTTGCGCCCGTCATTTTCCTTATATGGAGGGCGGGAGGCAGTTAAGGAGGGGTAAAAGGGGCAGCTGCCCTGGGTTCAGTCCTTGTTGTAGGGCCGAAAGAAGCTGCTCCATACTTGCTAACTGTACTGGTTTACATTCCCTTGTCCCTTGAAGTCTTTGTCCGGGGCTGTGTCAGATATCTCAGTGTGAAGTGCTGTCACTTGCTGGCCAGCTCTGTCCTGTTGCCATGTACAGATGAATCAGGTGTGCAGACCATCAGCATTCACATGGAAAGAGTGGCTGCTATGTGGCATTCATATGTAAATAGTGGTGGCATTCATATGTATATTATGCCCCCCCCCCCCCCCTGAGGTTCCAGACAGCTCCTCTTTTAGTGGTCAGCATAAATTCCCCATACACAGGTGGCCAGTGTAGAAATGTATTGGTTGTTGGTGTAAAATCCCCCATTATATTGGTTTTCAGTGTAAACTGTTCATTACATTGGTGGCCAGTGTAAAGTTCCCTTTACATTGGTGTAAATACAGAATTGCCCTTACACTGGTGGTCAGTGTAAATCCCCTTACATTGGTCATCAGTTTTAATCCCCCCTAAAATTGGTGGTCAATGTAGAAATGTCACCTCCCATCCCCATCCAGCACTGCCACTGATCCCATCCACCCCAAGCACTGCCATTGACTCCAACCCCCCATCAGCAATGTCATTCATCCCATCTTCCCCACCACTACCACTGATTCCACCCCATCCCACCTCCACTGCCACTGATCCCATCCACCCCAAGCACTGCGAATGATCCCAATCCCCTATCAGCACTGTCATTCATCCCATCTTCCCCACCACTACCACTGATTCCACTCCATTCCACCACCACTGCCACTGAACCCATCCCCCCCACCACTGCCACTGATCCCATAAACCCTCCCTGCAGCACTGCCACTGATCACACCCTCCCGCCCAGCACTGCCATTGATCTCAGGAGTCCTAGGAATTTTCTGTCTATAGGTGGGTCCCCTAACCTTCTCAGTCCATGGTGTGCAGGCAGTGAGGAGATGATGTGCTGTAACCTTCAGCAACCAATCAGTGAGACATAATCAATTGCTGTAACCTCTAGCAACCAGAAAGTGGTAATAATGTGCAGTAACCTCTAACAACCAATCAGTGAGTGGTAATAATGTGCAGTAACCTCAAACAACCAATCAGTGAGTGGTAATGATGTGCAGTAACCTCTAACAACCAATCAGTGAGTGTTAATGATGTGCAGTAACCTCTAACAACCAATCCGTGAGTGGTAATAATGTACAGTAACCTCTAGCAACCAATCAGTGTGCTGTGATGATGTGCAGTAACCTCTAGCAACCAATCAGCATGCAGAAATCATGTGCTGTAACCTCCAGCAACTAATCAGGAAACTGTAATGTGTGCTATAACCTCTAGTAACTAGTCAGTGAGAGGGTAATGATATGCTGTAACCTCCGGTAATCAATTGCAATTGCTGCCTGATCTGCTGCAGTAAACCGATTTTAAGTTTATCAGCTATTTATTGTATATCTCAGAGCAGATGGACAGCTAAATTGCATGGGGGGGGGGGGCAAAAAAATGTTTGCCCATGGCCCAATCACTATTAAGGACGGCCCTGCAAAGAGTCAGTTTAGAGGAATTCACCGCTGACGGGGGTGCTTACGATGGCCAGATTTTATTCATTTATGTAACACCTTTATCTCTTGTCAGAGAGCAGCAACCTTAACGGATTTTTACGAAACATAATAAATGCACATTTTTGCAGGTAAAAAAATGTCCATTCATTATTTTTTGTTTACGGAGCCTCAAAAGCAGATCGCTGGTGCCATGCAGGTCTCCTGCAGACCCGTCGCTGTATCTGTGTGCCCGTACATCCCGTACAGGCAAGCAGATACCTACTGACAGGAAGACTCAATGAACTACCACAGCACTCCACCAGGGGCGGACTGACAACTCATGGGGCCCCCGGGCAATAGGGGATCATGGGGCCCCTGTGTCCTTGCCCAAACTCAAAAAAATCCTATGAAAAAGGGACCAGGGGCATCTCATGGGGCCCCCTACTGACCCTGGGCCCTTGGGCAGTGCCCGAGTTTCCAAATGGTCAGCCCGCCCCTGCACTCCACAGCGCCTTGGGAGTTCATTGAGAACTACAAGCTGATAGGCGTAAAGGCTGCCGGGACTTGTAGTTTTCTCATTCACAGAATACAGACGGGGGAGCGGGGGCCGTTCCTTTCAAAACAAGTTACATGTTAACCCTGAATATGGGTGTAACATGTAACAGGTTATGAAAGGTAAACATCCTTTAAGCTGGGTTGTGTTGCCAGCTATACTGTACTGCCAAAAGTATTGGCCCCGCCCTCCAAATCATGTGATTCAGGTATTCCAATCCCCTCCATGGCCACAGGTGTATACAATCATCACCTAGGCATGCAGATGGCTTCTACAAACATTGGGGAAAGAATGGGTCGCTCTCAGGAGCTCAGTGACTCCAAGCGTGGTCCCGTGATAGGTGGCCCCCTGTGCAATAAGTCCATCCGTGACATTTCCTGGCTACTAAATATTCCACGCTCAACTGTTAGTGGGATTATAACAAAGTGGAAGCAACTGGGAACAACAGCAACTCAGCCACCAAGTGGTAGGCCACGTCACATGACAGAGCGGGGTCAGCGCATGCTGAAGCACACAGTGCGCAGAAGTCACCAACTGTCTGCAGAGTCAATAGCTAAAGACCTCCAAACTTGGTGTGGCCTTCAGATGAGCCCAACACCAGTGTGTAGAGAGCTTCATGGAATGGGTTTCCATGGCCGAGCAGCTGCATCCAAGCCTTACATCACCAAGTGCAATGCAAAGCGTTGGATGCCGTGGTGTAAAGCACGCCACCACTGGATTCTAGAGCAGCGGAGATGTGTTCTCTGTAGTGACCAATCACGCTTCTTTGTCTGGCAATCCGATGGACGTAGATACAAAGATAACACCTCCTGCTCTCTAGGAATCGAGGAACCTCAAAACAATTCCACCAGTGCAGCTCTACAATAAGGCTGGGGAAGCCCGACTGATACTGTGAAGTGAAGCAAAAAGAAAGAACGCACCAACCTTGCGCATTACCTCAGTAATTCAGTGATTTTAATAAATAAAATATATATACTCACAAACAAGAATGTAAAACAAGCGTTACAGATCCTCAAAGGAACTGGGGAGTGTAGAGCCAGTGTGAGTCAAGTCACGAGGGTAGACTCAAAGTCAGGCTGATGCGTTTCGAAGGGAGACCCTTCTTCATCAGAGCTCTCCCTTCGAAACGCGTCAACCTCACTTTGAGAGTCTACCCTCATGACTTGACTCACACTGGCTCTACACTCCCTAGTTCCTTTGAGGATCTGTAATGCTTTTTTTACATCCTTGTTTGTGAGTATATATATTTTATTTATTAAAATCACTGAATTACTCAGGTAATGCGCAAGGTTGGTGCCCTCTTACTTTTTGCTTCACTTCACAGAATTCGATGGACGTGTCTGGTTTTGGCAGTTGCCAGGAGAAACGGTACTTGCCTGACTGCATTGTGCCAAGTGTAAAGTTTGGTGGAGGGGGGATTATGGTGTGGGGTTGTTTATCAGAGGTTGGGCTTGGCCCCCTAGTTCCAGTGAAGGGAACTCTTAAGGCGTCAGCATACCAAGACATTTTGGACAATTTCATGCTCCCAACTTTGTGGGAAGAGTTTGGGGATGGCCCCTTCCTGTTCCAAAATGACTGCTCACTAGTGCACAAAGCAAAGTCCATAAAGACATGGAGGAGCAAGTTTGGGGTTCAGGAACTTGACTGTCCTGCACAGAGTCCTGACCTCAACCCCATAGAACTCCTCTAAGATGAATTAGAGTGGAGACTGCAAGCCAGGCCTTCTCGTCCAACATCAGTGCCTGAACTCACAAACGGGCGGACTGACAACTCATAGGGCAATAGGGGATCATGGGGTCCCTGTATCCTTCCCGAAGCTCAAAAAAGCCTATGAAAAACGTACCAGGGGCATCTCATGGGGCCCCCTACTGACACCTGGCCCTCGGGCAGTGCCCGAGTTTCCAAATGGTCAGTCTGCCCCTGTTCACAAATATACTTCTGGAAGAATGGTCCAACCTTCCCATAGACACCCTCCTAAACCTTGTGGATGACCTTCCCAGAAGAGTTGAAGCTGTTATAGCTGCAAAGGGCGGAGCCAACTCAATATTGAACCCTACGGACTAAGACTGGGGTGCCATTAAAGTTCATGTGGAAAATACTTTTGGCAATATAGTGTATGTTGAATAAATTGACATACCAGTGACGTCATTGGAGTGTGACCTTCTCTGTTTGTAGCCTTTAAAACATCAATTACTATCTCAAAGGTTTAGCCACCACTTATACTGTCAATTATTGAAAGTGGACCTTCATCCTAAAAACTAACTGTTTGTATCTGGCTCCAGTCCCCACAATTGGATATGTTTTGTTCTTTGATTTCTTTTCTTTTTTTTTTTGCACTTCCTTCTTTCTTGCCTAGTATAATGTTGTGTCTGATCCAGGCTGAAGGTCTCTGCATGGCCTTCAGTACCCTCATACGCAAAGCTGCTGCATGGCTCTGCCAGGCCCTGAAGATCACATAGAACCCTTTGACCAGGGGTGGGACTGACCATTCAGACACTCGGGCACTAGCCGAGGGCCGGGGTCAGTAGGGGGCCCCATGAGATGCCCCTGGTACCTTTCATGGGCTTTTTTTGGGAGTGGTTTGAGTGTGGGTGAGGACACAGGGGCCCCATGATCCCCTATTGCCCGGGGGCCCCATGAGTTGTCAGTCTACCCTTGCCTTTGACACATCTGTGCATGCTCAGGACAATCAAAGATGGCAGCATGCACATGTACATACACTTCATAGCAGGAAAGCTATGTTGTGGATCGTTACCTGCAGATCCAGTGAAGCCGGTCATCCACTGCCTTCGTTTTTTCCCGGTCGGCGATGTATTCCCCCTATGTACAGGACACAAAGAGGTTGATTTTCTAAAGGAGTAGAATTTGTTCACTGCAAAGTGAATGTTAGTAAATACGGTGAAGCTGTGTTCAGTTGCGCAGCATTTTTCCTAACACATGATTGGTTGAAGTGAACAGCTTTATCCTATTAACTGAACTGGGTGAACATTCTCTTCCCTATGTGAACAGTCTGTACTTCTTTAGTAAATCCACCCCACAGAGAGGTTAAAAGAACGTTTCAATTTTAATTTTTAAGTAAACTTCTTGAGTGGGAAAATAATTAAAATTTTCTGTTGTTTTCCTTTTACTCTTTTGACACCATTGGGGAGATTTATCCTCACTTCCTACCCCTGCGACCCTAATAGAAATAAACAAGGAGGGTTCATTTATCACCAGGGCCAATAGGCAGGAACAGCTATACCAACAAGCAAGCTCTAAACCAACCAATGTGTTGGTATGCTGATGTCTTAGGAGTTCCCTTCACTGGAACTAGGGGGCCAAGCCCAACCCCTGAAAAAGAACCCCACACCATAATCTCCCCTCCACCAAAACTTTACACTTGGTTTTAAACACCTGTGGCCATGAAGGTGATTGGAACACCTGAATCCAATGACTTGGAGGGATGTCCCAATACTTTTGGCATTATAGTGCATGTTGGGGGCTCAACACCCCAAGTAGTCAGGGCTTTGAAGTCAGAAGAGAAAACCAACACATGTTGGAGGCTCAGCAATTCCTTCTTCAGGGCTAAGAAATCCAAAGAGAAAGCCAACACATGTCAAGGGCTCAATACCCCCTTCATCAGGGCTTGGAAGTCAGAAGAGAAAACCAACAAGTGTTGGAGGCTCAGCAATTCCTTTGTCAGGGCTAAGAAATCCAAAGAGAAAGCCAACACATATCAGGGGCTCAATACCCCCTTCATCAGGGCTTGGAAGTCAGAAGAGAAAGCCAACATGAGTTGGGGGCTCAGCAATGCCTTTGTCAGGGCTAAGAAATACAAAGAGAAAGCCAACACATGTCAGGGGCTCAATACCCCCTTCATCAGGGCTTGGAAGTCTTGGAAATGTCAGAATACAAAGTTTCAGTTGGCAACAGAAAGGAGGACAGAACAGACTCTGGACTTTCTGCTTCTCAGTTCCACCCCCAGCTTCCTCCTGGCAGCAGCACAAGGCTCTGTAATTTAAGGGATGGAAGGGGACTCTTGATGGTTGGGGAGGGGGGCTCCTGATATCTGGTGTAAGGGGGGGGTGCTCTGGATATCTAGTCTTACTGACACAACCAGCCCTTTTATGGGCAACCATAATGCTGATGCAGCATCATTAGTTGGAATAGAACTTGACTCAGACACGTTTTATTAACTCCCCATTGTATTCTAAGCCATTCCAAACCTTACTATAATTTTGGCCATATTCATATATTAAAAAAAAAAAAAAAAAAAAATATATATATAAAAAAAAAAAATATATATATATATATATATATATATATATATATACTGTCAATGTGTTTTTTATATATTACAAAATATATGAAAATTATTTTTCAAATATATTCTTCAGATTTTTTTAACATATAAAAAAGTCATTTTAACATATATTGTTACATATATTTGTAAATGCATTCCAAAAATGATTTGTATTTTTAAAGACATAAAGTATATTTGAAAATGTATTTTTAAAAATATGTTCCATATATTTTGTAATAAAAACACATTTCAACATACAGTATATATATATATATATATATATTATATATTTATATTGAAATATATATTTTGAAATATGTTGAATACGGCCAAAATTGCAGTATTTCAAATTTATGTCAATATACAGGTGAAACTCGAAAAATTAGAATATCGTGAAAAAGTTCATTTATTTCATTAATGCAACTAAAAAGGTGAAACTAATATATGAGATAGACTCATTACATGCAAAGCAAGATAGTTCAAGCCGTGATTTGTCATCATTGTGATGATTATGGCTTACAGCTCATGAAAACCCCAAATCCACAATCTCAGAAAATGAGAATATTGTGAAAAGGTGGAATATTCTCGGCTCAAAGTGTCCCACTCTAATCAGATAATTCAGCCATAACACCTGCAAAGGGTTCCTGAGCCTTTAAATGGTCTCTCAGTCTGGTTCAGTAGGAATCACAATCATGGGAAAGACTGCTGACCTGACACCATCATTGACACCCTCCATAAGGAGGGAAAGCCTCAAAAGGTAATTGCAAAAGAAGTTGGATGTTCCCAAAGTGCTGTATCAAAGCACATTAATAGAAAGTTATGTGGAAGGGAAAAGTGTGGAAGAAAAAGGTGCACAAGCAGCAGGGATGACCGCAGTCTGGAGAGGATTGTCAGGAAAAGGCCATTCAAAAGTGTTGGGGACTTTCACAAGGAGTGGACTGAGGCTGGAGTCAGTGCATCAAGAGCCACCACACACAGACGGATCCTGGTCATGGGCTTCAAATGTTGTTTTGCTCTTTTCAAGCCGCTCCTGAACAACAAACAACGTCAGAAGCGTCTTACCTGGGCTAATGAAAAACAGACCTGGCCTGTTGCTCAGTGGTCCAAAGTCCTCTTTTCTGATGAGAGCAACTTTTGCATCTGATTTGGAAATCAAGGACCCAGAGTATGGAGGAAGAATGGAGAGGCCCAAGGACCCAGAGTATGGAGGGAGAATGGAGAGGCCCAAGGACCCCGAATATGGAGGAAGAATGGAGAGGCCCAGGGACCCGGAGTATGGAGGAAGAATGGAGAGGCCCAAGGACCCCGAGTATGGAGGAAGAATGGAGAGGTCCAAGGACCCCGAGTATGGAGGAAGAATGGAGAGGCCCAAGGACCCCGAGTATGGAGGAAGAAAGGAGAGGCACAAGGACCCCGAGTATGGAGGAAGAATGGAGAGGCCCAAGGACCCCGAGTATGGAGGAAGAATGGAGAGGCCCAAGGACCCCGAGTATGGAGGAAGAATGGAGAGGCACAAGGACCCCGAGTATGGAGGAAGAATGGAGAGGCACAAGGACCCCGAGTATGGAGGAAGAATGGAGAGGCACACACTGCAAGATGCTTGAAGTCCAGTGTGAAGTTTCCACAGTCTGTGTTGATTTGGGGAGCCATGTCATCTGCTGGTGTTGGTCCACTGTGCTTCATTAAGTCCAGGGTCAACACAGCCGTCTACCAGGAGATTTTGGGGCACTTCATGCTTCCTTCCGCAGACGAGCATTATGGGAATGCTGACTTCATTTTCCAGCAGGACTTGGCACCGCCCACACTGCCAAAAGCACCAAAACCTGGTTCAATGACCGTGGGATTACTGTGCTTGACTGGCCAGCAAACTCACCTGACCTGAACCCCATAGAGAATCTATGAGGCATTGCCAAGAGAAAGATGAGAGACATGAGAACAAACAATGCAGAAGAGCTGAAGGCCGCTATTGAAGCATCCTGGTCTTCCATAACACCTCAGCAGTGCCACAGGCTGATAGCTTCCATGCCACGCCGCATTGAGGCAGTAATTGCTGCAAAAGGGGCCCAAACCAAGTACTGAGTACATATGCATGCTTCTACTTTCAGAGGTGCGATATTGTTCTATGTACAATCCGTGTTTTATTGATTGCATGGAATATTCTCATTTTCTGAGATTGTGGATTTGGGGTTTTCATGAGCTGTAAGCCATAATCATCACAATGATGACAAATCACGGCTTGAACTATCTTGCTTTGCATGGAATGAGTCTCATATATTAGTGTCACCTTTTAAGTTGCTGCACTGAAATAAATGAACTTTTGCACCATATTCTCATTTTTTGAGTTTCACCTGTATTTGGAAGAATATTTTTAAAATATATTTCAAATCTATGTTTCTTCCATGTGGGAAGAAGCGGTGTTGGGTGGACTTCACTGGCAGGATCCACAAGTGTTTGTTGTACTTTTCAGGGGGTCTAAGAGGAAATGGTAAGTGTAGCTCGTACTTTTTATAAAGGGAGTCCATAGTTCTATTTTTTTTTAATGTAATTTGTTTTCCATGTAATACCCACAAGTTCCTCTTTTTAATCAGGTTATATCTCGGTCATATATTACAACACTTTAATCATTCTTCTTGCTTTTTTCTGTTACTGATTAAAAACATTAAATTTGGACAATTCACATAAACTCGGTGGAACTCAAATAAACAGGAAAGTCCTAACAAAAGCTGGAAGCCGCTGGAATACGCATTGGAACCTCGGCGCCCGCTCTGCGTCCTACTGGGAAACATTCTGCCCGGTTTACTGGTAGAGGGTGGATCAGATGTGTGCGGTGGGATAGGAACCGATATTTCAGTAAATCGGGCCCCTGATGCTGGGGAACTGAGCCATTTGCAATCACACAGTGGCCCCATTACTGCAGTAGGCTCCCAGCAGAGCAGAGAGGTGGTTAGCTCTCCATAGCCAGGGCCATGGATTAGGGGGTACCACCAGTCCTTCTGTATGGGGCCCAGGCCAGCAGGGGGGCCCAGGCAGCTGGGGGAATCGGATGTGGGCAGGAAGGGTGATCAGCACTGTGGGGGGCAATTATTGGAATCGATCCCCTGTATGGCTCTCATTGCAGCATCTGAAAGCTGGATTCTTCCCCTCTCCCTCCCGCTGGTTTTCAGCTGCTGCAGAGATAGCCATACAGGGGATCGGTTCCAGTGACTGCCCCTCCCCCCCCCCATCCCACCATGCTGATCATCCTCACTGTGCACATTTGATTCACCCAACTACCTGGGCCCCCACAGTGCCGGCTTCCCTCCTCTCCTTCCAGCTGCAAGCACACATTAGGATCCTTCAGGATGGAGAGTAGGGGAACGGTATGATAAATATATCAAATTAACCAGCCCCTTTCATTCCTGAATGAACACAATGAGTGATCAGTACTGATTGCTCAGTGTGTTCATTCATAACTGAAGCATAGGAAACTGTGTTTTTTTTTAAGGGGGCCCTGTCAGTTTGGCTGTATGGGACGCCGTGGTTTCTAACAGCAGCCCTG